ATTACTTTACTATTCTGCGACGCCAGGGCACGCTTTCATTTCGGCTCCGAGCACCCACTTGTCGCACGGCGGGCGGCGGAAAGTTGCGCAGGTTTCTAATCATATTATTGTTTAAAAGTTCAAAGGAGCTTTCCCTAACTTGTTCGAACATTGCGCAGGGATTATAGGTATCGTGTATTTCTTCGGTTGCGCAGGTATTCGATATGGTACCAACTTGAAATTTTTTAAGTATAAGCTGAAGTAGTAGACCTCTTCCGTTAGCCAACTTTTATTATCAAGACTGTTATTTAATTTCATCACTGTTGTGATTCTAGCAGTACAGTCTTTTCTAGTGTACTTCTACCATGTACTTTTCTTGCCAGTCTGCAGCGAAAGCCTCTGAGTAGGAGCCCTTTTCGTTCTTTTTCTGTCCTGGCTTCATTATAAGTTGTTGTTGTTGCTTTTTAGCGCAACTAAGTTGTATCGGGCATACACATCTATTAATACAAGCCCACTATTATTTACTTATTTTCCGCTTCTTCTGAGACAAACTCACCGAACGGTTTTCAGTGAACACTCAGTCAACTAAACATGGTCGAGGTTGGGATTCTGACTCGATCACAGCTACCTCATAATCGATACAACACCTCAAAACCTGCGCAATTAAACCGTCCATAGGAAGGGCGGCTTATTGAGAAATTGGTAGCTTAAAAAGATAAATCATGCGCAATGTTCCGTCCCCCATGGCGTCACTTGGTGGAGAAGAAAAACGAACGGGCGAAAATTGACTCGTTTCAATACTCGCAGCCATGCAACGAGTGGAAATGTTTCTAGTGACTAGTGTACATGGCGCCACAATATACACAGACAGTAGGGGCCTACAATAAATCTTACTCGACACTTATCTTTATGTACACGACAGAATGTGTTATCATGTAGCAACCCTGCTTACAAAATCGACAGACTTCATTCTGAGTAATTGCTGAATGCTGTCCAGAAGCGGATCCAATGTCCATAGCAAAACTGTAGGCATACGATGGAAAAACAATCCGTGCTTACACTAGTATCTGTGGTAGTTTTTATTCTGGCCATTTCAAGTTCAGGTAGGAAAATTTACAATCATCAAAAAAAAAATATATAATA